TTCTGCTGGAAATCCAATTTGAAGAACAGGAAAGTTTCAGTATGATCACTTATCCTTAGCAAAGTCATGTTGGCACAATATATGGTTTACATGGAAAGTGAGTCCACCAGTCTCCCTTTGCTTGGATTCTTTAAGAGCTTAGCAAATGTGCAGATAATCCTACGGTTGTCTAAACAGCTTCATTTGTCCTTTGATCTGAAGCAGGAGGAAAGTGTCAAGGTGAAATTAATATAGCTATTTGCAACAATGGAGTTGCAGTCAATGAAAATACATGTAGATAGTATTAAATGCTGAGAGTAGACTCTAATATCATGAGGATGAAAACCTGTCAAAAAAAGTGATGTTTTTTCTCTATTGAAAAAGTACCTGCGTTTTCCTTATGTTATTCAACATACCAAGAGCAATGGATAAATAAGCTTTACTATGATAAAATGTAGAATGCTATAGGAGTTTCTCTTGCACACATGTATAGATAGAAGATACACAGAATAAGTGAGATGATCCCTCCCTACGGCTGTTTTATGCTGTTGTACAAAATAATTTATCCAGCATATATAATCTGATAAGATACCAAAACCAAAGCCTGCAGTCCTACAAATAGGTTATTAGAGAACAAATATCCATAAACAATCTGAACTTCACTGCAGAAGTCTGGAATAGTTTTAGATTCTAAAAACTTTTCATTTTCCAGCTGAATGGTTTATGGACCTTAAGACCCCTTTAATGAACTGAATTTGGAAGCAACGAGGAACATAGGAGAGATGATCAGAGGAATGAGGTGAAGATCCACACCAGCAAGTTTGTTTCAGTTTCACTTTGGTTGGCAACCATCTCTAGATCAGAAAATTGCCTGCAGGTGCCTTGATTACAGCACCATACCTCTAATTTAAAGCTCTCAGCTTGAAACATCCTGCTGATCTCAGTTATCTTTCAGACAAGTTCAGGAAAAAGCAAGGACAAGAAGATCAGTACCCACCCAGACTGTACTGTTGGCTCTACCTGCATAAACTCAAAGATGTAAGACTGTTTTTACAGATTGGTGTATAAAGCTGAGGGAGGACCAGAGAGCTCTAGCAGCATGTGGCCTCTAAGCTTAGTCACTGTGGAAAATCAGGACTTCCAAATGCTGTTTGTATTTAATTTTGGTTTTGGTCTACAAATACTTTCAGCATTCATTTCTGTTTTCATATTTTGATTCAATTAGGAGATTGAGCTTTAAAACTCAAATGGGATTCTGAACTGGGAAGAGAGTTGGCAGTGAATTGGAAAGATGTTATTACAGTCAAAATACCCTCATTCCAGATTCCATAGCAAGGTTTCTGTTTCAAGTATTTTCTCTTGATCTCAAGATACAGACCACATTGGATGAGCACAGGTTGTTAACACTGTTACTAAGGGAAACTATTTCATTTTTGCAGAGGACAGTGGGAGTCTGCAGCACTGCAGCATCAATATTATGCTACCACAGCGAGAGAAAAGGATGAGTGTATTGACTTTAAATTCTTGAACTGTAATTTGTCAAGGAAAAATAGTAAAATAATTACAAAGCTGAAACAGAAATAAAAGCATCAAAATTTCATGGCTGCCCAGAGAATTTGTGGATGCCCCATCCCTGGAGGTGTTCAAGACCAGGTTGGATGGGGTCCTGGGCAGCCTGGTCTAGTATTAAATGTGGAGGTTGGTGGCCCTGCCTGTGGGAGGAGGGGGGGTTGGAGATTCATGATCCTTGAGATCCCTTCCAACCCAGGCCATTCTATGATTCTGTTAAAAAGTAGAAATTAAAAACTTGATTTTTATGTGTGTTCAGTTGTTGGTGTATAAAAAATTACTGAAGATTGCACTATCAAAGTGACAAGTGACATGAATGCTGATGGCATGTTTTGAGTCCTAGTGACTTTTTCCAGTATTGGTGAGATATTTTTACACTTCTTATGTATAATTAATCTGAGAATAGGAAAGAACAACAAGAAAATATGAATAAACAAAATTATAGAGGGAGGTACTTGTCATAAAAAGGCTGCTCTTACTATAATTTGAGGTGTGATTCTATTACTGATAATGTTATAGTCCTCTTTCTCTACAACCTAGTTGAAGAAGCCATGAGCATCTTTTTATGCTTATGGCACATATGCTGATTTTCTACTAATGCTCAATGAAAACTTGAATCCTGCTCCCAACCCACCCCAACACACCCTCAAGAGGTCAGTAATAGAAATAATAAAAAATTGGAAACTTAACACTATGAAGATAAATACGTACCTTCAAATATGCCCAGGAATCAGATGCTGTCAAAAATCAGTGTTAGAGTAGAACTGCAATTCTTTTCATCTGTAAATATATGATACTCTATAATATCTATTAGAAATTAACAAACACTTGATACTTGAAATTGTACCCATTATGGTGGTTTTATGAGTGCGAATACAAATCAGATTAAACAATGTCTCTGTTTGGATTACTTTCTACTTCCATACCCAAAATGTAGCAGCTTAACATAAGCTGGATGGGATGCATTCCTCTCATCCTGCCACAACACCTTCAGGCAGACGGGATTTCCAGGGCTCCACATCCATTCGACCACCAGAGGGAGCAGAACTGGCATGTGAAGGTAACAGAAATTTTTAAGGTGATTTCTGTTGAAAAAAAAGATCGACCTCATTTCGAAGTGATACAGTAATTGTTTAGACAAATCCTATACATCTCCAAGGGTTTTCATCTCTAGACATGTGAGGAAGGGTGAGGGAGCATCCCCTGAGCAATAAAGATCAAAACCCAATCTACACACTATTTTATCAAAACCCAGATCTACACGCTGCCTCTGTCAGCTTCATTCATTCCCCTTGTCTTTCTTCTCAAGGGAGAAAGATGACTAACTTGACTACTTGTGCAATCAAGTGCACTGGTCCCTAAGTTAGGCTCACTTTGTGGTCAAGAAAGGTTACTTGTGTTCCTTTGTAGGAAGGTAAGTAATCTGTTTAAAAATGTCTGAGTTTCTGGGTGAAAGATAGTCCTAGTAGAAAACTAATTTAACAGTTTAAACCACTAGATGGTAGGAGTCTGTCTATCTTCTGTAGACTATCTGAAGTCGACTATTCAAAATGTTCTAACATAATTGCTGGTGGAGCAGAACCAGAAAATATCCTAGATTAAAAGAAAAGATAATGCTAGAATATTAAACTGTGGTCATGCAGATGAGAATAAGAGAGAGAGGGCACAGGTTCTTTAAAGGGAATGAAACATCAATCCAGTGTCCCTTATGATGTACAGAGCTGTCACATATTTTTCTTAGATGTGTAGAGTTAGTGGATAAAGGGGATGAATCAGAGGTCACAGAACAAGGGTCTGGTTCTTTCTACCAAAGATATCTCCAAGGCAAGTTCCTCCCTTGTACTAAAGTATGGCTTGTTGCAAAATGTGATTGGGGCACCAGGGAGCTCTATACCTCTTACTGACAGCTAGTGCAAAGTGCACAGTTTCAAAAATACCAATACTAAGGGCTGACAGATGTTAGGATGCTTTGTTTGCTTGGGAAATAATATAAATGCAGGAACTCGAGAGATTGTTTCTAGGTTCAGTTTTGTTCATGATCTGGAGGGATTTGGTGAAATTCTTAGCTCTTTCCAAAATGTAAGGAGTAGCAAACACAGTAAAAAAAATCATTAGAAACATACTAAGGAGTTCTGTCTGAACTACATTTCAAAGGAAGCACATCCCAGTTCTGTCTTGGTAGTGCCTTTTTATTGTCCCAACAGCAAATCAAGACAAGACCTGGCACATACCATTCCCCCTCACTTCCCTCACCACAAGTCCATATTTCTGTAGGAGGAATGCCCAGGTGTGTTGTGTATTAGTATTTTCCAGGTAGATACCAAATCTCAGTGATACATTAAATAAGATTCAGGGAAACAGTAGGAAAAAAATTATGCCCTGCCATTCAGAAATACCCAGGAGGTATAGAAACAGAGGCTGAGCTTCAATTTGACAGGATGCTGGAAATCATTTTAAAAGATGAACTTCTCTTGCTATAAAAATCTATGCCAGAAATGTGGTGCTCAGTGAGAAGGCAAAACTGTGAAAAGGTTGTGGAGATGTAAAGATAGAAGCTTTTCTGGAATTAAGTTTTTGTTTGCTTGCTTGTTTTTTTGTTTGTTTGTTTTCACTAGTCATTCAGGGAATTAGCTTCCTGCAGCAGTTTGCAAAGAACATTCAACCTTAAGATGAATAAGTAAAAGCATCCTGTCAATGAAATACTTAGTGGAAAATTCATATGCAGTGCTTTAATATGTACAGCCTCTGGGTAGATTCCTTCTTTTTCCCTTTGGACCTGCAGTTTAGTGCAGAGGACACACGGCAAAGCTATGCAGCAGATCTTTTACACATTTCCAGAAACTTAGGTTTTCTACTTTTTGCATTTTCTCTTGATTACAGATCTGCTGCAAATCTAGATCTTGCTGTGACATCAGACCATATTTTATTATCTTTGCACAAATTCTAAGAGGAAGAAACCATAGGCAAACCAATCTACAAAATATCAAAACTGTACATACAATTTCTGATGCCCATCAACTGGAATACTGTTTTTTTTTTTTTCCACACCCATTAGCCAACAGTAACATGGGAAAAAGATGAAAGAAAATAATTTTAGGGTACCTTCTCTGCTTGTTTCTAGTAAATCTGTTGCCATATATTCCCAACAGCTTAGATCAAATGTCCTTGATTATCTACCATCTAAAGAGAAACAGAGAATCCCCACGTTCCTCACATCAGAACTTTGGCACTTTAGAAAGTTTACAGATGCAAACCTCAGTAGCTCATAAGAGATGTAAGGCCACAAAACTGATTTTTTTTTCCTCCACATATAAAAAATATGAGCTCCTGAGCCGTCCCAAGAGCCCTCTCTTCCAGCTGCAAATGGTTTTTTCCTACTTCATGTCTACATGGGCCTCACTTATTCTGTCCCATCACAAAGGAGAAGTGAGTTGTAGGTCCATCCATCTCACTGCTACATCACAAATTGAAGAAATGAAGACTGAAAATCAATATATTCTGCTAGTGCAAATCTAAGGTACGGGATATAGACAGGGAAATATTTTTGTGATGCAGTGGGGAAAGGGTGGGCATGAAAATTTGAGATTTAGTACAATAGGATGAGAAAGAACACTTTAGTCAGCATTAAACTGGAATAAATTTGTGCATGACATTAAATCTAAAGCTTAGCATTTTGCCTGTTTTCTCTGAAAGGAGCACAAGACTTCTCTCACATGCATTTGAAACTCCTGAGATAGATTTTGGTTTTCTATAAGACACGGTTATAGAATCACAGACTCAAATCACAGACTCATCACAGAAAGATTTAGGAGCAAGGGGCCTCAGGAAGTCTGTAGTATCAGTATCTGCTCACAGCAAGGCTGAATCCAGAGCTATTTTGTGTTGTTCAGGGCTGAGCACTGGTAAGCCTGGAACATCTCCAAGGCTGGAGGTCCTCCAGTTTCTCTAGGCAACCTGACAAAGTTCTTTCTTCAATCTTCTTTGTGGAGAAGGAAGAAGAGAGCAGGAAGAACGCAGCCTTACAGCAACAGCAGAAATATAACCATCTGTTTTATAGGGAGGGGTATAATAGCTGTAGATGAGTGGGAGTAACATCGTTGATGAAAGAACATCAAAATGGCAGAAGAGATACCACAAAAGGAAGTTATTTCATATTTATGTCCCTCAAGTAGGAAACTGAAAATCACATGAGGTCTTCATACACAGCAAGAGTCCCTCCCAGCTCAGTTGCCTTCTCAGCATTGTTTTTTTTGTATTGAAAAATGAGGCATCTTCTTCCATGCTGAGGAGTTTAGTAACATGAAGACAGTGATTCCACCAGATAATGTTGTATGGCTATCACATTCCAACTTGGGGAGCAGTATCAGCCACTGCCACTACTATACACACGAATGTCCTAGATATCTACTGCAAGGATGATAGCGAGAACACTTAGTGATTTTAGCGGCATTATCACAGGCAGAAATGGATCGAGCAGTTTCTGACGAAAATTCTGGGCCGTTCTCTGGTGCAAAAGGCCCGCTCAGGTGCAAGGACGGTAGCGAGGGCTGCCCAGGAGGTGGCAATCGGGAGCCTCTCTCAGGACTAGAGCAAAGGTGGAGGGAGGCTCCCAGGAAAAAAGGTGGCTGCCTTTAAGGTGGGTTTATTTGCCTGCCAGATGGGAAGTCTGTGTGACCAGCCCCTTTCAAACAGGTAAAGGCAGTAAGGCTTCTCCACCCACTTGCCTTGATCTTTCATCATAACTGTGGGCCAGGCAGGGAGGTTGTGCAATGTGCGCGCTCCAGTCAGGAGGCTGCGGGAGAGATTCATGCGCTGTGAGCAGGAGCCGAGGCTTGGAGGCCTGAGCCAGGAGAGCAGGCAGGGGCTGGGATCAAGGCCCCCTCTCCAACCAGCATGGAGCTGAGGATGGGCAGGATCGAGCTCTCCCTTGGGATCCTTCTCTTTGGGTCTCTCCTTCCTCCTGAGGTGCTTGGGAAAGAAGGTAAGTGTGGGACCTGCTGGGCTTGGACAGCGAGCAAGAGAAAGGGACCTCTTTGAAGGGTGGGGAACGGGGCCTGGTCTGCTTGTATGGGGTCCTGAGAACAGTATAGCCTTCCTGGAGAGAAGGGCTGCAGGAAACTGGTGCCTCGGAAAGCAGGTGGGGTGCGGGGGTTGAAATCCAAGAGCAAGCCCCCACTGTCTCTTAGTGGCTCAGTGAACTGAGCTCAGGTATGCCGTTCCCCCCTCCCTCTGCACCCCCTCCCAAATGAAGCACAACTGCCTCAACATATCTAGTGATCCAAGAGAATTCTTCCTCTGTTTGCATTAAACACATGTGTTGCAGATAACAAGCTTAAACATAAACTTATGAAGTTATTCCCCTCACCCCCTCGACAACACCCCCGCAGTTTCCTAAGGAAGCTCACTAGAGAGTTAACCCTTGTGAGCAAGAGAACAGTCATTTCTGGGAGGTGTGGGAGATGAGGCAGTCTCTTTAACCTACCTCAGTGTAGGAAGGTAGAGCTCAGCTTTACAATTTCTTCTTCCACCTCTTCTTTCAAGACCCTCCTGCTTCCCCTCTCTGTTCTACTTAGCCCCTTTTATTAGATACAGTAATCTTTTCTTCTTCTATCTTGGCAATTGCATGGTAGTTATGAAACACCTGGGAAATAGGAATCTTAGCAGAAGGGTGAGGAAGAGTAAAGCTCTGTTCAATTTCCTACCTCTCACACTTAATTTCTGCTAGAGACTTCTTTTTGAGTCTCTCTTTTGTATGGTTAGGGTTGTCGGAGCTTTTCATCCCAAGGATAGCCCCCTTGTTTGCTGCTCCAGGCCCTTGATCGGGAGGACTTAGTCATAACTGGCAGTTCAGCCATGGGCTCACCTCAGACTGTGTGTGTGGAATGTTCATTTAAACTGTTCTTGACGTGCATATTTGTATTAAGGATTCAGCTAAATGGAAACCACTAGTAGACATTATGGAGAAAATGAACCCAGGTGAGAAGTAATACAAGGTATTGCCACACAGGCTCTATTTTCCATATGTGTGTGACCAGTAGTTGTCAGTTACACACAGACCTCTCTGCCAACTTCTCAGCCATGTCAAGCATCTTATTTTGTCTGCATCTGTGACCTACTCTCTCTTCGTGTGTCTAACAAGGAACAAGCAATTCCCTGGCATCCACTTCACTGAAATCTTTCTTCTTTTGAGTAGATTTCCCAAGTGGCTGGAGAGCCATGGTGAGATTCCTAGGTCAGAGGCTGTGGACCTAAGAGTCAGCAGCCCCAAAGTACTTGCATTCCCTATGTTTTTGCAGTCCTACTGACTCGTTCTTCCTTTTGTTGGAGAATCTCTACTGTGGGTTGCACTTTGAGAGATGTATTTCTTGAAGAGTGGGCTTTGCCCACACCTGTGACAGTGATGAGGCACAGCTTACAGGCTGTGAAGGTTCACACACTGGCTTCTTCTGGGTGCCTTTTCCTTTGCTCTCTGCTAGAACTTGCTGCACAGCCCCTCTTGCTTCCACATCACTGCTTCAGGCCTGAAGTGTGTGGGATAGATATTATCTGGGTGACGGTTCTGGAAGGACAAGCTAGCACACCCTGTATGTTTTTTTTTTTTGCTACCAACAACACTAGAATAATATTTGAAATAGAGACTGAAAGCAGGAGAGAACTGTCTCTTCTGGACAGGGAGTCTGTGGCTTGGAAGGTTTGGCCATATGACCATCCCATGAATGCAGCAAACTTGCAAAACCTGGATTCCTGCTTTTCTCTTCTCCCAATCCCAAAAAGGTGTTTCAGAGGTGAGAATAGCAGTGCAATCCCTCTTATCTCAGATTCTGGGCCCACGGCCTGCTTCCTCATTCCATAGGACTCCTGCTGATCTGCACTTTACACTCTGTTAGTTGTAGTTGGCAGGCAGTATTTGTGAAGCAGTCAGACGAGGGGGAGGAAATCTGGATATTTAAATGCAATTTAAATGTTTCCTCTCTCCTGCCTCTCACCCTCGAATTCTTTTCTGAGATGTTTAGAAATGACCCCTCTGAATACACTCACAGGAATCCAAAAGGTTAATCCAAAGGTTTTTTTCTTGTTAGCAAGTCGGGGCTGTGGTAAGTGCACTGACATCAGTAGTCTGTTCTGTCAGTGCCAGCAGAGCCAAAGGCAGCCTTGAAGCTGTGCATCCAGCAGCGTGACTTATTTCATCTTCTCTCCCTTCTCCTTGTTTGCCTAAGAAGTGATACATTCTTAATTTCACTCTAGATCAAGACTTAAGGGCAAACTCTGATCATATTTTCAGATTTCTTTGAGGGCTAAAAATGAATAGACTACTGAATTTCTTTGTTGAATGACTCCAGAAGCCAAGACTTAATGTGAAATCTTGCAGTGCAGTCCTTTGAGAGGTGGCAGTGCTGTGCCCTGAAGCTGCTATTATCTCGCTGTCGTGGCTGGAACGTTTCTGAGGAGCAGACAAGTAAAACGATTTCTAGGCCAGCATCAGACAGTGAACAGCTAGGCAGATTGAGAAGCTGAAATCTCATGGTTTTTGGAGACTGTGACAATGGAAACTCCCTTTTACCACTTCACACTGCCTGTCTTTCCCACGGTGTTTCAAGCACTGAATGGCATTTCTTGCTGCCACCGATTGATCTTTTGTGCTGGTAATTTATTTGATTGCCCCCCTGTTCATCCATTTTGTCTGCTACCTTCCTATTCCAAGGAGGATGTGAGCAGCTGCTAATAGTGTCTTCCCATTTCAATAGGCTTCGGCCTCCTGTTCCCATCCTGAGACAGCTTTAGAAAGCAGTAAATGTTGTCAGGGTTTAGCATGGCATTGCGTTTTTCAGATGTTTCCAGATGCCTGTGGGTGTTAACTGAGAGGAAGGTAGAAGAGGAGGGGGTCTCATATACGAGACAGAACTTTTAACTCCTGACTAGCTGCAGTCTTTTATATTTTCCCATTCTTCCACTAGCCATACTTTCTGAAAATAAAAGGTCATAAAGAATGTGGAGTTGTGAGGTGACAGAGAAAGTGCAGGCTTTGCCATCTTTGACAAAACTAGGATGAAGCCATTCCATGGACATGTGAGTTAGGTCACTGATTTTTTTCCCTTCTTTGGTTTTCAGTGAATCTGCTAGACACAAGCACTGCACAGGGTGAGCTGGGCTGGCTTCCAGACCCTCCAGAAGTAGGGGTGAGTATATATGTTCAAGGATGGGGAACTGCTGGGAATGTTACCAAGTGGAAAAACAGAATTCAAACTGAAAATTTATCCTATCCTCTAGGATCAGGCATCTGCAACTCCTTCCTCTCCTGAACCTCTGATCACATTTTCAAATTTCTTTGAGGGCTAAAAGTGAATTTCTTTGTGGGATGATTCCAGGAGCCAAGGCTTCATGTGAAATAATGCAGTGCAATCCTTTGAGAGATGGCAGTGCTGTGCTCTCAGTTATATTTGTCTAAGTACAGCTATTTTGTCTCAAGTACAGATGAGTGATCCTTCTAGCCATCAAGACTTCAGTGATGGAGGATGGTTTCCTTTAAAGCAGCAGGGCTCTGTGGGAGTAGTGGAAAAAGGCACAAAGGAGTGGATTCAGAAACTATGTTGCAGCAGTTGAAAGGAAGGATGTTAATTTAATGTAGTTAAAGCTCCTCATCCATACTCCTATCTTTCTGGCAAGTCACAAGCTCTCCTATGGTGAAAGAGTCTTTACCCTTGCTGCTTATAAAGTAGATGTGGGCTCAGCCTGTTCCTAACTCATTTTCATAAGTTTCCTCTGTAATGTGCTTTGGCTGGTTGAAATTCATCCCAGCCTCCACCTACTCCTGGTAGTCTTGCTAGGTGAACTAGAGCCAGAGAGTGAGGTTTTCCTATACAGGCATAACTGTATGTTTTATTTGTACAGCTATTTTGTTTGTTATTATAACCTACTCAAAACAGGTGCCATAGTGACACATATATGTAGATCATCTTTTGCCCATCGTTCCCTTTGTTGTCCATGTAAACTGTCTGCATGGTGATTTTAACCCAGTACTGCTCTCCAGGCTTGTTCAGGATGAGGTCTGAAAACATGGAGAGAAACTGAAAAGTGCATTTTAAAAAATAATATGATAGAAAGAAGGCAAAACCTTTGTCACAGAATACCTGGTTTGGCATAAGAATTACCATACCCTTCAGTTTGTGCTACATCTGCTTTTTTAAAAAAATAATGTTATATATTTAAAATGTAGTTGTAGTTGGGAATTTTAGAAGATGCTGGAGAACATGGTCTGAGAGCATGCTAATCTAATAGATCAAGATACTGATGACTGATAAACTAACAGATAATGAAAAATAGATTCACTGACTTCTGATGAGCAACTCTGTTGTAGGATTTTGTCTGTCATTTCCTGATAACTGTTAGTTGGAGGAGCTCACAAATTGCCACTAGCAAAAATGGAACAATGGGTGATTCTCTTGAAATTAAACTTTGAACAAGTTTCAGAAACTGATCTTCCAAAATGCAGAAGGAAATGTGTTTGAAAGAGAACTGAGATTAATTCAGAACATTTTTTACACAAAAGAGCTAAGATTAAAATGGAATAAGCTGACTAGCTTCAGTATTAACAGGCTGGAAACACGTGAGCTGTATGCCTTACAGGGAAGAGCTGTATTTCATATAACAATGCTACTTGTATCTAATCTTGGGTGCCAGAGATCTCCCATCTGTGAGCTGGATTTCTGTCAATACACTTATCACACACAGAAGGAATTTGCTGTGAGGAATATTCATGCTTTATACGGATAAGGTCTCTAAGGCATTGCGCAGAGGAGGTGGCAGAATTACACTTTGTTTTCTGCTCTTCTTTAGCCAGTGATAATGCATGAAGTGGCTTGCCATGTGTGATGTTTTCATGGTAATACAGGGTCTGTACATAAATATAGACAATGCTTTTGTTAATACATGTGCAGCCTATGTCCACCAAGCTGTAAAGCTAAATGCCAGTCAGTTTTGGACAGCACAGGTCACTATTATGGATTTTGAGAGTACACTAACTAGCAGTAAAATCTTACCGAAGTTTAGTGGTGACATAAAACTGAAGTGTCCATAGAAATTTGCTGGCTAAAAGGTTTATGCTAGCTTGCTTTGTAATAGGTGTTTTCAAAGTGTTTCATTCATTTTAAGATAAAAGCTATTAAAAACAAAGCCCTTAACAAGGCAGACTGTAGTTCCTATAATTTTATCTCCCTCTCTCCACAGCCCCCTCATCATCTAGCAAATTCCTTGATAATTTTTTTTATCTCTTTCTGTGGACTGTTGAGATAGCAATATCAAATAAACATGGAGATGTGTATTACAGTACAGTGGTAGATACCCCTCTTCTAACATGGTAGAGAATGAATGATGATCACTTTGCAGGTGTCAGGAACCAAGAACTTACTTGCTCTCACATCAAGCACTGATACAGGATGGGCAGAGAATGACTTGAGAGCATCCCTGGGGAGAAGGATTTGGGGTGTCTGTTGATGAAAGACTCAACATGTGCCAGCAATGTGTGCTTGCAGCCCAGAAGGCCAACCATATTCTGGGTTGCATCAAGAGAAGTGTGACCAGCAGGTCGAGGGAGGTGGTTCTGCCCCTCTGCTCTGCTCCTCTGAGTCCCCACCTGGAGTACTACATCCAGTTCTGGGGCCCCCAACACAAGAGGGACATGGAGCTGTTGGAGCAGGTCCAGAGGAGGGCCATGAGGATGATCAGAGGGCTGAAACACCTCTCCTATGAGGACAGGCTGAGAGAGCTGGGACTCTTCAGACTAGAGAAGAAAAGGCTCAGGGGACCTTATAGTAGCCTCCCAATACCTGAAAGAGGCCTATAGAAAAGCTGGGGAGGGACATTTTAGAAGGGCATGTAGCAACAGGACAAGAGGAAATGGTTTTAAACTGGAAGAGAGTAGATTTAGACTTGAGATTAGGAAGAAATTCTTTACTATGAGGGTGGTGATACACTGGAACAGGTTGCCCCAAGGTTGTAGACATGCTCTGCCTGGAAGCATTCAAGGCCAGGCTGGATAGAGCTTTGAGCAACCTGATCTACTGGGAGGTGCCCCTTCCTATAGCAGGGGGGTTGGAACTAGATGATCTTAAAGATCCCTTCCAACCCAAACCATTCTATGATTCTTTAAGGTCATCCCATGCTGCACAGGCAGTCTGGCTCCTTGCACTGATTTTAAAAATCATCAAATCTATTGGAAAAGTACTTCTGAAAGATTGTGATGACTAAATAAAATGACAAGGCACAGTAGTATTGCTTCCTGGCAGATTGTAAAATAACAATATAAAAATAATTTATCTTTGTTTTGCTTTGAAGTATGATTACATCAGTTTTGAACAGATGGTGATGAGGAGCTGCATTATCCTCTTGAAGTTTGCTTTCAGTAGATAAGGTTTTGAGCAACCCAATCTGGTTCTGAATTTAGCCTTGCTGTGTGCAGAATAGATTAGGGACACAGACGTCCTTTTACACCAAAATATTTCTTTATTTTCCATGAGTGTTCTGTTTGTCAGCATTTTGATTCTGTACTTTTAGCCAAGGCAAAATAAGGCTCTCCCAGTACTTGATTTAATGTATTCAGCTCTGTCATATCTATTCCTGTGATTCACTCTATCAGTTTATGTAGGCCTGTGAAAAAATGTATTCAGCAAGCCAATATTTGTGTTTAGTTGCTGTGATTACTTGAAATTTTCTATTTGTCCACTATTTCTGATTTCATTTTTGTGTATACAGGAACAGTAGTTATATAATCCAGTCACATTTTCAACCTTGTATGTGAATACTTAAGTTCTTGGCCATTTGTAGTGTAGGTTGAGGTATGGTGGGCCTCTCAAGATGGCATTCTGTCTTCATACTGTTCTGTGGATTGCAAATTAAACCCAGCATTCCTTGGAGGCAAGTTTTCACCAGCTCTACAACAGTCATTGCTGACAGAAGAGACTGTTTTAACAATTTCTTCAATTTTAATTTGGTTATCTGTTGTTTCCAGAATCACAAGCACACTGTTGCTCCCACTAGTTGCCAACTTGTGTAAATAGGTACAATTTACCCTATTGTATTAGTATCAAAAGTTCATAACTGAACAATTCTCAATTGGTAGCTTTTTAGTTTATAGAGAGTTTACTTTTCTCATATTATACTTCTGCATGGAACATAATATTATAGAAAATTCAGATGATTTTTCAATCCTTTATAGCCTGCCATTTTTGTGTACTCTGCATGAGGTGGAGACCACCATTTTTTTCTGCTGCTTCCACGCATATATCAAAATATTGCTATAAGTTAGACTTCCTACCGAGTCCCCTACTGTGAATGGTACCTGGCCTGCTCAGCTTTGGTTCATTTTCACACGGGACAAAGAATAGGCATGTAAAGCACAGTGGCTTAATGTATCTCAACCCTCTTTAGAAATAGCCAATGCCTGCAGTTACTGTGGTTCCTAAAACACTTGGAAAACTTTGGAAATGATGGAAGTCTTGTGCAGCTCTGTAGCCCATGTTTCACAGGAGGTCTGATTATGAATGTAGCAACTGCTAAAGCTATATGAATGTAACTTATGTAAACTAGTGTTCAAATTGTTATTGTTGGCATTTTATTTTTCTATTAAATCCATGTCATAGTAAAAACTTCACACTGCTCAATTATTTGCTTTAGCTAATAGACTAGATCAAGTACTTGTGACCTGTCAGCAAATTCTATATCACTGACCACATTGTTTACAGGCCTCCAGGTTCTAGCAAGGCAAGGTAGATCCCAGTTGTTGATACTATCTGATGGCTGCTTTCTGTTTCTACCATTTCTGCTCAGACAGATGGGCCTGGCCATGAACAAAACAATGTTGTGGTCCACACAGCCCTCAATTTGCGAGTGATTTCAGCACAGCGCTCCTATTTCACTAACTGAGTAGTTCACTTAATCATCAGTACCCCATTCAGATTGGAACAAGTCTCAGCAAGTCTGTAGCATCTGAAGATAGTATGAAGAATAACCATCAGAAATGCTATTGTGTGCATCTCTTTCCACAGCTGTTGATAATACACGTCCTCTAGGATCTAACTCAAAGAGCTGTTGTTGCCTCTGATACTGAAAGAAAGCATCATTCCACTCCCCAGCCTGCTCTCAGCTTAGGTATCAGGCGTAGGTTTTTAAAACCCCAGGTAAA